TGATACGCACCTAGCTCCGCTGAGCGCGTATACTGTATGTCCGGCGCTCGTTATGTCCTCATCCGCGCATTACCATCCCGACCACCTCCGCTGTTACTGTTGCTACATTGCTTACATATGCACTAGTATATCTACCGTAGCTCGCCGTCGTCGCAATACAGCTTCTCTCGTCCGGTTTGGTGCCGGAGAGCGTCGTCTCACCCAGTTTCCGTCTGCAGTCGCGTCTCCGTCTCGTTCTCGTTCTCGTTGTCTTGTCCACGCCCACGCCCTCTCTCCGCCTCTCTCTCCCTTCTCGGTGTTTCCCACTGGCGATCCTCACCCACTCGCACACCGTAGCGCGACTCCCGGGTTGCCCTGCACATCATCGGAACTACTTGGATCAAATCGCGATCCCTAGTTTGACGTCGAGGGTGGCCAGGTCGGGACACTGCGCGGCGAGCATGTCCGCGGTCCGGTCCGCATGGCAGTGGTGGAGGCGGACATGACGAATGGCAGGGAGGAAGGGCAACGTTTAGCTGCCGAGGACCGTATCGGGTTCGTACTCGGACAAGCGGAAGGTGTGAAGATGAGGAAGGGACGATTAAGGCTTGTAGCAGAGTGGGAAGGCTTGGTGCAGGTTCGGGGCGGGAGTCGTAACGCAACAAGCTTGAGCGAGCCGGAGGTGCCCAAGCTCTGGCGCTCTGATAACACCCAAAGCACCGCGAGAATGCGCCGTGATCATTGAATGTCGGCAAGCTTCTGCAGCTGCCGTTACTTCGATGCGCTTGCAATGGTAATGAATCGGCGGTCTAGATACAGGACGTCATTGTCGACCGACGGTAGACTGCTTGAAAATGGACTGCATCGGCGGCGGCGAAAACGTCCTCACACTCGTAAGACGCATCTCGTACCACACGCCCTCGGAGTAGCAGGGGTATAATGTCGTTGCAAAAACATAGTGCATCGAGCTTACATAGCACAGAGCTTCAAAGAATCATCAGCCTTAACACGTTACTAAAGGGGGGAAATTCTCATATCGTAGTTTACTTGAAGCAGCGGCGCACACAGTGCGCAAATTCCACAAGGTGTCCATGAAGGCCTTCCCGTGTTGTGTCTCATGGGGATGCAATTGGCGTGTAAGCTGGAGGAGCGTCGTTCCCTTGGAATGCGGCGGCGGCGAAACGGCGCCCGAAGTTGAAACGCCGCGGTGGGGGAGCGGCGCTGGGAGGAGATTGTAGCAGCGGGGAACGTCAGGAAAAGCCTCCGCCGCCACGCTTGCGATGTGCGAGAGTCTGTCTGCAGGAGAAAAAGCGCCCTCGGAGTCGCGTCGAGGCGACGGCGAAGGCAACGACCGGGGGACCGTCAAGGTCGGGCGAGTGCCAGTTGGAGCGCGCGTGTACGCTGCCACTCGGGCTCTCGATGCCGCCGTCCTGGAAGAGTGAGGACCCTCAGACTCGCAAGTCGTCTCTCAGATAAGACGATCGACACTCACGTTTGTATGGCGCGTCTCATGCTGCCGCTGCAGCTCCCGGATCTGGCGACAAGTCGCGCAGTCGTCCTCGTGCGTTCGGGCGTGCTGCCCATCCTCTCCCACTCCCCCAATTCCCGCCCCCGTCCCATGTACGTGAGGGTGTGCTCCCGCGTGCACCGTTAGCGACGGGACGCCCGTGTGTCTTGCCTGCGACGCATTCGCCATTGGGGCCGGGTGACGGATACCGGAATAGGCACATGATACCAGTTGGTGCTGGCCTGAGACCCCGTCGTCGCATTCGGTTCGCGCTTGAGTTTTGCGGCGCGATGAGTACTATCGCTGGCGCCGCTGATGTTCTCCTGGTCAACACGTTCGCCGGCGCCGTTGATGTCTCCTGGTCGCCGCGGCCTGCGCGCGTGCTAGCTCCGCTGCGGTACGTGCGCGAGAGCTTTCGCGAACGCCCCATTTGAAAAGCATCCCGAGCAAAGAAATCCCGATTAGACCGCCGATGATGCCGAGGGTGTAGCGGAGAGAGGGCACATTGGAGAAGATATCCCGCCGGACAAAGGTCGTAGTCATTGCGGGCATGGGGAGGTGAGGGGCATCCGCCCTGGAGGGCTCAAGGCAAGCAAGGTAGGCGACGGGGCAGGTGGGAGCGTGTCATGCGCGGAGAAAGGCGTCCTCCTTTTGTGGACACCAGAGGCCCGTCGAGTTCCCGTGCCCGCCGAGGGCTGGATTTCGGTACTGTGCCTTGGGCTGGGTGGGCACTGGGCTATGTGGTCGGCAAGGGGCTGGCGGCTTCTATCTAGAGTCATCGAGCCTTCTGACCCCTTCAGCTGGCAGGTGGGATCACTTCTGAGCTTCAACTTTTGAGGCGGTGTATGCACCCGTTTATTGATACGAAGTTGGTTTTGACGCAAAATGATCCACCGGAAACGGAGAACGGTAGCAAGCGCACTCTGTTCCAGGTTCGGGGAGCAAAGTGAGTTCCATACGCACAACCTACGTGCGGATCATGTGAGGCATTTCGTAGTGCGGGGATACTTGAGGAGGCTCATTGCGGCTGTGGGTGGTCTGCAGCTCCGAATGATTGAGATATACAAGAGGCCTAAACGTAATCGATTAATCCCCGCCCACCTTGTCGTGTCATTGGCGTTCAAGAAGAGCTTGGCGAAGTCGGAGAAGTACGGCGGTGTGAGGGCGCGCGGGTGCTTATTGGATCCCAGAAATAATCTTGACAGTGACATGTGACATGTGCCGTGCATGCACTGTCAGTGCTACGAGTACAAGGGACGAGGTCTGCGATGTCATGATCCACGCGTGGTCAGTCACAGCGTACCATAAGAGCGGAGGCTATGTGTATGGCTGTGAGAAAGAGGCAGCAACCAACGCTGAAGCAGCGTCCAAAGAGATCCAGACGACACAGTTCTGAACATGACAAATGTCCGTAATGCAACTCGACCGTTTAGATATCTCTATCTATCAGCACACTGTGTCTCCTTCACACACTCCCGCGACTCTCTACAAGCTTCTCGCGATCCGTACTCCGATGCCACGAGCCCGGCCACTGTGTATCTCTTGGGAAGCCCTCCACAACCGCCTTATGCCGCATCGGCCCCGCACTGAACATGCGCTCGGACGCAGAGACGCGATTTGCGTTCGCCGACGTCTCTCCCATCGCCGACTCCTCCGCCACGCCCACAGCCTCGCGTCACTCACCCGCGATCGCTTCCAGCCCGTCCTCCAACGCGACCCCTGCCTCGCAGACGCTCTCGTGAGCCCCGCCCGCCTAACGAGCCTCCATCACCACAATGGACGACTCAGCCCCGAAGCTCAGCGCTGGACGGACTCCCCTTCCCACACGCCCCGCCAGCTCTCGCCCGCCCACGCGCACCATCCCTGCCTCCCCCGGGACGCCGAAGTTCCCACGCAACTGTACGATTTCATAGGCCACCTCCCGCGCGAGCCTGTTCCGCAGGGCTTGCGTCTCCTCTTGGAGACACGAGCCGGCCCCCCATCGCTCACGACGCTGGCGCTCCGCAAACTCGCGCCGCGGTATCCCCTCTCCGAGGCACACACATTGCACTGGAGGTTGTGGAGCGCTGCGAGGGCTGCTGTCGCTGGTACCGGTAGCGGTGGGGACGGGGAGAGTGCAATGGGACGAAGGAGGACAGCGGTGAGCACCACTCCGCAGGCTGGTTGTTTCCCAGCCGGAGGAGGTCATGCGCATCGCCTGGCTTTTGTGCGCGTCCTGAGCGCGAGCACGTTCGATACGCACTAGGGGATGGACATTGCGGGAGAGGGAGAAGGGGAGGAAACCATCGAGTCAAGGACCGAGCCCTCACACGGACGCTGACTCGATGGTTTCGCCAACGGAGATCTCTTCCTACCCGAGCGAGGACAAGTTGTGCAGAGTGCGAGTCGGAAGTGCTCACCTTGGCGTACCTCTACCACACCTGAGGCCGCAACTCGCCCGCAGCTTGATTTGTTGCGCGTGGTGTCTCCAGACGCGCTCGTTAACATCGACCCGACCGCGCTGGGTGGCGGGTTTTTCGCGGAAACGTTGATACAGGGGTTGCATGACGCACCACGCCTGGGATGCCTGAACGTCTATCTCAACATTGATGTCTTCGTGGACGGTGGGGGAAATGTGGGCCCTGAACGGATGCATACCATTCTCAGTGACCACTCCCGGTGCCCTCCAGCGCGATCCTGTCGACATGCCCCTCGAACGCATCCATGTTGTCGTGCTTACCATACCCCGGGTGCTTTCTTGGAAGCCCCGGAGATCTAACTCGATACCGACATGGAGAAGTTGATGCGTACCGACGCAAGAGCAGACGGGGTGAATGGGATAACATGTCTGAAGATGCTGGATGGCGGATTTGAGGGGGTGATCGGTTGCGGATTTCGCGCCGAGCAGGTGGTGTTGGGACTGCCAGTGACGCGCAAGTGAGAGAGACACCAGAGGTGGAAGGTGCTGTAGATGGTGAAAAATCAAGTCATCACAGAGGCGATGGAAGCGGGAGACGGATGAACGAGAGGCTCGGCGCTCTTGCTGATTTGCGCGCCAATCTTCGTCAGCTACTCAACGTCGACGTCCATGTCGACGTCAACAACAATACTTCCTAGCGGGCCCCCTGCTCGAAGCGACAAGCCTTCAAGTCTGTTTTTCCCCAAAGACTCCTTTGTGGCCTAGAACAACCATGCATCCCTCAGCGACCATCCCACTATGATTGGGCTTCCACGCCGCAACGCCCGTAAGCAGGGCGGCCTTCTCGAGCGCGTCCTTCTGTGGATGTGCTCGTGAAGGTCCTCGCCAACTCCTCGCCGAATAATAGTACATATACTGAGCGGCTACTAATCTAATCTACACCGACGTTGGCGCCGAGACAAGCCGCGGCGCTGCCTCCTGTTGCCCCTACGTCACGTACCACCACGACGGGGTAAACAGGAGTCCACAAGCAACATCTGTATGTTCAGGGCAAGTGCTATCTTGCGGTTATTACTCATTCCAGCGTGCTAATTTATCCCTTTCCAGGTTCCCTCTATGGCACTCATCTTCGACCGTCTCAACGACGATATTTTCCTCATCATCCTCTCCTATCTCCAGAGGCGAGACCTGTCCGCCTTGTCGCTCACCTGCAAACATTTCCATAAGCTTTCCTCTCCAAGACGCTGGACCGCTCTTGCGACACATAAGGCTTTATATGTCTCCTGGTGGCATGATAATATCGGCACCAACGCTCGTTATGTCCGTGAGATACTGGTTGTTGTCAACGAAAGGGCTCCTATGCTCCCCGATGTCTTGTTCGCAACCAAGAACATCCGTGCACTTCATATGTTCCATTTTTCTCACCTCTCTTGCGATCCCCGTCTTTCTGTGGCCCTCGCAGGACTGCGCGAACTCCGGACACTCTCTTGCCATTGGGTCCGGGACACAATACTGCCGACGATCCAAAGCATCCCCTCTTTAAATCTCACATACCTTTGTCTAGGCTTTGAAGGGGGTCCAAGCGTTTCCGGCGATCTCCTCTCCCTCCTCTCCGCCATCAAATCCTTTCCTCGCCTGTATGTTCTCATTCTAAAGCACTTCACGCCGACCACTGCTGTCGACATTGCTTGCCACCCGTCATTCCCCTCCATCCAACAGCTCACCCTCCACGACGTGACGGAGCCTGCTACGGATCTTTTTTATCTCTGTCCCAACGTCACCTCCCTGAGACTCGGTCTCAACGTTTTCCATCAAGCTCACGAATCTCGACCGAGATGGCGTTCCTCACCGATCCCTCGACTCACCCTCACGGCTCTCCGCATGGAGGCAAGAGACTTCATGGTCTCGTTTCTGGAGCAACGACCCATGCGCGCGACACACGTTCGACTATCCGCGCTCTGGGAGTTCACATGGGACGGTATCTCGTCCATGCAGGACGAAACCGCGTCCCAATTAGCCTGCGTTCTCACCACGCTCACCCCGCGCTCCCTCTACCTAGAAATACCAGCGATTTTGTGCGCCGATCTGTCTGATCGCACAGGAACTCTCTGGCAAGAGGTCGCCGCGGCCGCCCCGCACCTGCGCGCGCTCGTGCTCCATGTGGACTCATCCCTCTCGGACGACGATACCAGATGGGCACCCCCGGTACGTCGCGCTCCTGATCCGAGCGCGCCCCTCGCTCACCCGACGTGCGTCACACGCCAGGATGCGCTCGTGGCGGAGCTCGCCCGACTCACGCTCACCTGCGTCCATCTCAAGGCGGACCCATACTTGTGCTGGCGGAAGGGGGACGCGGACCGCCCACGCCTCCGCGCGCTCGCCGCGTTCCCCGGGGAGCTCGCCGCGGCCATCCCCACTCTGCGCGTCGTGGGCGTATCGGATGGGTCGCGCAAGTTGGAGGGCCCGCGATCCACGCAGTGGTGGCGCGTCGAGGGCGGCGACGGCGATGGCGCGGTGCGGTCGCTGGTCGAGCTCTGGCGCGAGGACGGGGAGCGGGCGCTGCGGCTTGTGCAGAGCGAGGCGTTTTGTGCGTCCGATCTTGACGGTGAGGAGATGGTTCGAGTTCTGGTTTTATCCAGTGGCTGACTTGTAATCCTGTAGACATCTACTCGGAGAAGTGCCGTTACGTGAGGGGGTAAGCGGGGAACACGAGGGCGTCACGAAGACGTCCAAGACCCCGCCGTCGCGACTCGCCACGCGAATGAGGGAGACCGTATGCGAGGGGACTGTCCTCTCGCGCAGCGCCGGGTCATTCGACATGGGCCCGCAGACGGCAGAGCTCGGCGCGCAGGTTCTCGCGCACGTTGGTGGATGGCTCGCGGATGGGACGTTGGTGCATACGGTTGTGAGCTTCGCGGATGCCAGCAACTTAGGCGCGCCGTGGACTTACTAGTAGACGACGGGGTTTTGATTACCCCCAACTGGTATATGTACATGGGAGCGCGCGGACTCGAATGTAGCTCTGCCCTGGTATTTACATAAAGTCTTTCCCAATCGACGCTGCATGTTTTGCGGCACTCTCCACGCCACGCGCGTGCAGAATTGGACAGCGCAGTTGCGGAGGAAGGTTGGGCTTGAAACGGTGGCTCCCCGCTTACTCCCCCACGTATCGGCACTTCTCCGAATAGATGCCTACGGGAACGCATGTCAGCCGCTGCAGATAAGACCAGAAATCGACCCATCTTCTCACCGTCAAGATCGGACGCACAAAACGCCTCGTTCTGCACAAGCCGCAGCGCCCGCTCCCCGTCCTCGCGCCAGAGCTCGACCAGCGACCGCGCCGCGCCGTCGCCTTCGCCGCGCTCGATGCGCCACCACCGCGTCGATCGCACGCCCTCCAACCGGCCCCACCCATCCGATACGCCTACGACACGCAGTGTGGGAACGGCTTCAGCGAGCTCCCTGGGGAACGCGGCGAGCGCGCGGAGGCGTAGGAGATCCGCGTCCCCCTTCCGTTCCAACAATTCGGGGTCCGCCTTGAGATGAACACAGACGAGCGGGAGCTGGGCGAGCTCCGCCACGAGCGCGTCCTGGAGCGTGGAAGGCGTCCGGTGAGCAAGGACCGTGTTCGAACAAGAGCGCGACGTACCGGGGGCGCCCATAACTGCGGCCCTCGCCATCGGGGTGGCTGTCGTCGACTGAGTTCACATCGAGCACGAGCGCGCGCAGGTGCGGGGCGGCTGCGGCGACCTCTTGCCAGAGAGTTCCCGTGTGATCAAACAGCTTGCCATGCCATGTTGCTGATATCTCCAGGTAGAGGGAGTACGGCTTCAGCACGTCGAAGATGCGCGTGAATCGGGAATGTGTGGTCGAGATACCGTCCTGGGTGAAATTCCAGACCATGGGGAATCGAACGTGTGTTGCGCGCAAGGCTTGCTGTTCCAGCAACGAGACTATGAGGTTTCTGGCATGCATGTGCAGAATCGTGAGGGTGAGTCGAGGGATCGGCGAGGGCCCGCGCCATCTCGGTCGGGATTCGAGAGCGCCCGTTTTGTGCGGATGATAGAGACTAAGTCTCAGGGAGGTGACGTTGGGACAGAGATAAATGAGATCTGTCGCTGCGAGCCCGGTGACATTGAAGGTGAGATCCTGGATTGAGGTGAATAGCGGGTAGTTGGCGATGTCGATGGTGGCTGGATTAAAGCGCTCTAGAATCAGAGCATACAGACGAGGGAAGGATCTGATTACGGAGATGAGGGAGGGGAGGTCGTCGCAAGCGTGTGTTCTCCCTTTATAGCCTAGACAGAGGCTCGTGAGATTGGGAGAGGGGATGTTTTGGATCGTCGGCAGCATGTTGTCCTCGACCGAATCGCAAGAGAGTTTCCGGAGCTCGCGCAGGCCTGCGAGAGCCATAGAAAGACGTGGGTTGTCATGGAGGAGAGCCGAACGGAATAACTCGAGGGAAACGATGTTCTTGGTTGCAAACAAGACATCAGGGAGCGTCGGTGCACTGTCGAGGTCGACACAGATCGCCATCTCACGGACATAATGGGCGTTGGTGACGAGATTCTCATGCCACCAGGAGACGAAGAAGGCCCGGTCTATCGAAAGGACTGCCCAGAGTCTTGGAGAGGAAATCATATGGCAGTGTTTGCAGGTGAGCGACAAGGCGCAGAGGTCTCGCTTTTCGAGATAGGAGAGGATGAGGAGGAGAATATCGTCGTTGAGACGATCGATGATGAGCGCGGCCATGGCGGAACCTTGGAAGGGATAGATTAGCACGCAAACATGGATAATAATCGCAAGATGGCACTTGCCTTAGAAGAAGTCGAAGGGGCCTTGGCAAGTGAACGTATGCGACGTGTCTGGAAGATCTGTTGGTGCTCCGTGCGTCGTGGTGGACACTTCCGGAGGACCTCGGCAGCGCATAAGCGCTTAGTATGTCGCGGCCCGCTTCACTGAGTCTTGTCACGGACGCGTATGGTCACGCTCACCGACTATCGTCTCTGCCACCATCCCGACCACCTATCTTAAGCTTGCTCTCTTGATTTACGCTGCTGTCTACTCCGTCTACGGCCGCTCTCCATGAACACCCCGCAAACTCCTCGTAGGAGTGCCAGTCGACGCGGAGCGGGACAGCCAAGTTTCGCAGCATGGCCGCCGACATCTCACTCCGACGTCGTCCCCTCCATCCATCCATATTCTCGCTCCGCTTGCCCGCTTGGCTATTGAAGACGCGGAAGAGCTCGCCTTGGACAACTGAAAAGCCCACTTCTACCCCTCATTCTCTCGCCAGAACACCCACTGTGCCAATACAATAACGTACGGCAAGGCAATCTTCCCCAGGGACATCAAAAGCGACAACGACGCGATCTTCAGCGTCGGCGAAACCGTACTCGTGAAGACGGTAAGCAAGTATCCATACCCTAGCGTGGGAGTCATCGCGGCTATACAGAATGTCGAGGGCGGCGGATTCGGGGGGCATTCACCCCTGCGCGTACGTGTCCATTGGTTCTGTCGTCCACGAGAACTTCCTCCCCATCGCGCGAAGCGAGAGTTCTGCGAGGTGCGTCGTTCTCTCATTTCTCTGCAGAGCCCATAGCCGATGCATCCTCCAGAACGAAGTGCTACCATGCCTTCATCCGCGGTCATCTCCCGCTTACTGTCTATTCCTCTGCAGTGATCAAAGAGCCAGTCGACGATGCTGTGAACGACTTCTTCTTTTGCCGCCTCGCCATGAAACCGCCGGGGTCTCTACTACGAGCACAACTGGGCAGGCTTCCATGAGGCTGCGGTGCAGAGCAGCTCTGAGATGTGGCCGAATGACGACGCGTGGACGCTGAAACCCGCGCCGGAACCCCTGCACCCGGCAAGGACGATGGACCTCGACGGAACCGCGGTCACCCACGCAAGCGTCGTCGCCTCGCACCACCCGAGCCCGACGTCGAGTCTGAGGCGTCGAACTCCGAAGACGACTTCCATGGTTCCCAAGCCCCCTCTTCCTCCTCTGAAGACGAAGGGACGAAGACGACGTCTCCGACGAAGACCGCGCTCCGCGGACGCCCTCACGTCGCAAGCGCGGCGCGGTCCCGCGTACCCTTCACACGCCACAGACCCCACGGACACCGCGCCCCATGGACGACCGAGCGTCGAAAGCGCATCCGACCCCACACTCGAAGGCAGCGCTCAAGCGGCGGAAGAAGACGGCGCTGGCGGTGCGTCCGCCCCCGCCTGCGGAGGGGACGCTGGAGCTCGCGCTCGCGCGGGGGCTGGAGGGCGACGGTTGGGAGCGAGCGATGCATGTGCTGCACGTCGCTGCGAGGCCGAGGGCTCTGCTGTGTCGGGAGACGGAGTACGGACAGGTGTTGAGGGCGGTGTAGGAGCTGTTGGAGGAAGGGAGCGGCGGATGCATCAGTGAGTTTGCTTTCTGCTTCGTGCGGGGTGCGCGGGCTGAGGTTCAGACAGACATTTCTGGTGTCCTGGGGACTGGGAAGACTGCCACGGTACATGCGGTAGTGAGGGAACTGAAGCGGATGGCTGAGAGTAATGTGAGTCGGTGACTTGAAGGCTTCGAACGAGCTCTCATTTGCGCCCATGAGCGGACATCAGGTCGGACTGTCTGGAGGGCACGCATGGTGAGCGTCTTTGAATTTCTTCAGCGACCACCACGTTGAGCCATGCACACCGTCGTCCTAATGGACGAATTAGACCAACTAATGACGGCGAAGCAGGACGTCATTTACAACTTCTTCAACTAGCCGACGCTGGCCGGCTCGAAACTGATGATGCTCGCCGTCGCCAACACCATGGACCTGTGTGAACGCGTGATGAAGGGTCGTGTTCGCAGTTGTCTCGGTATGTCTTCCTGACGTTGCCCGTTCACACCTCTTATGACCATGCAGGTATGACCCGAATCAACTTCCTGCCCTACATTGGTGCTGGACTCGCTTCTGGCGTCGCAGGTGGTGATCTGGGAGGCCGGCGCGGTGGTCGCGCGGAAGGCGGAAGAGGAGCGGCGGGTGGCCAACCTGGAGTACACGGAGGTGGAACGCGTGCTGGGCGAGGTCGGCGGTGCGAAGTGGCGCAACGCGTTGCATGTCTGATGTACGTATTACATGGCCCGTTTCACTCCCGTACAGTTCGCAACATGTTCTCTACCGCGGCTTCGCCGTGATCGCTCCAGATGCGCTCCAGTGCCCGTGTGCCATCCTTGTCAACGACACGGAACCAGCACCAATCTTTCGGCTCCCTTGCGGTATAGCACCCCAAATAGCTGTCGTAGACCGGGTCCTCGGGACGCAGTTTGTATGAATGCAACACGTGTGCATCGGAGAGAGAGAGATATTGTAGACGCGGTAGGGCATTGGCAAGCGGCTGACAGATCGCCCGCAGCATTCTTGGGGCGTGTGCCGGCCCAACTGGCTCGCCATCTTCGCAGCAGTAGCAGTCCTTGTCGTTGTACCTGTGGTTGTGCTGACTCTGTCGGGGCGCCCACAGCGCGAGGTGCTCTACCGGCAGAGGTGCCAGCGCGTCTGGCAGCCCTGTCTGCAGAATCAGTCAGCCCAGTCAACGCGCAGTGTGCACGTCACACACTCACCAGCCACTGCCACCTGTTCGAGTCTTCCTTCGCCTGTTCCTCCTCCACCCTGAGCACGAGCGACCGCACGCTCGGCCCCTCGCGCGCCAGCCGCGCCCACAGCGTCCCCCCGCCGAAACCGGCGCCGCCGACGGTCACCGCGCACGCGAGGCGCACGGGCACCGCCGTGCGCACCAGCGAGTACATCGCTTCCGAGTAGTCGGCCGCCGCGCCGAGCTCCTCGTCGTCGGAGTCGAATCCCTCCTCGGGCTCGTCCCCGTGCGCGAGCACGCCCTCGAAGCCCGGCGGGATCCTCCACGCCGGGCCCTCGCACCCCGTGCGCAGATCGAGCGAGGCGAGGTTGAGGACGTCGCAGCGGGCGGCGCGCGCCGCGGCGTACGGCAGGTCTTCGGCCGCGCGGACCTTGAGCGTGCGCAGGCGGGGCCACGCGCGCGCGCGCGGGTCGTCGGCGTTGTGCGCCTGCGGGGTAAGGTCGAGGCGGAGGATGATGTCGAGGGAGTCGAGGTTCGGGCAGCAGGCGACGAGCTTGTCTGCACAAGGGATTTCAGCGTCGTTGATTTGTAGGCGGCGAATGGAGGGGAAGGTTGGCTGGGATGTGACGTCTTCTGTCGAACCGTGTCCGAGAACGGAGAGGTCTTGGAGATGCGGGAGGCGAGATATGGCGCGGAGGAGGGATGCAAGGGATGATGAGTTACTGAAGCAGAAGCTGAACACCCTGACGCTAGGCGGAAGGAGGAGTCCCGACTCGAGGACCGCCTGATCAACCTGATTTTCAAGGTGAAGGACATGAAGTGAACTCAGGGAGCGTAGCGCAGCGTTGAGACAGGAGGAGTCCATAGTGATGCGTGGGAGGATGCTCCGAATGGTTAGAACGCGGAGGTTTGTCGCGGCAAGAAGTACGTCGCCGAGAAGATCTGCTCTGTCGGTCTCGTGTTCTTCCCCAGACATAGACAGGGAGAGATTTCTGAGGTATCTTGCCCTCACTTGACGACCTCCTACGGTGTTGTCACCCAGCAGGTATCGGTGTAGTCCGCGAAACATTGTGAAACTGTAGCATTCGACAAAAGCTGCAGCCTGGTGAATGGCTAGGTCGTATGCTGCTTTCGAGGTAAGCGAAAAGCTCAAAGCGTCGCCGTCGCGAAGGTGTAAAAGGATGGTGTGCAGGATGTCGTGGTTTAAAAGGGATAGGGTCCCAACACCCCCAGTTTCTTGTATCATCTGCGAGGTGGTGATCATCTAAGCATATCGACCGTGGATTTGAATGAACAACTCACGTCTCAGTGTATGGGAGCATGTGCTGGCGGCAGGATGCGTTTGAGAGGCCAAAAGATGCGGGAGGGGATCACTAGGGGCTGTGTATAGGAGTCTTCATACAGGCCCAGACGGCCGACTCCCTCAAGGGGTTACAGCTGGGTCCAGACTCCATGCCAGTCGGGTCGGGCGGAGTTTAATCTCGGCGTGTCTGCCGAGGATTCGGCAACTGTCGGCGTCCTTCACATCGCTCTTCCGACGCGTCTCCTGCGCAAGTGTCCTTCGAAGCGCTCTGTCCGGCTAAACTCCGCCCGAATTATCAACTGTGCTAATGTTCGCGCGAGGGGTCTATCGTTATGGACCCAGCTGTAGGGTTAGTGGAGTATATCTCGCCCAGGACCCCGGAAGGTTCGTGTTCGACGCCGACTCGACAGATCGAGCGGAATGATATCCGCGCGCACTGCGACATGCATTACGAGCACTAGCTAGTGTCTAGTGCACATGGTTCCAGGACCAACTCACGTTATATACTCCATCGCGCAGCTCTCCGTCTTCAAGTTCACGGGCCCACATCTTCTCAATCTCCCGCACGCCCTCTCTATCCGTGATCCGGAACCACCAATATCGGGGCGCGGAGAGTGGAAGTCGGGTGCGCGTCCGGAAGAACAACGGGTGTTTTCGTGTCGGCGTCGGCGAGGTAATGCAGGCACGGCAACGTATCGACGAGCGGCCGGTGCAGCACCCTGAGCGAGCCCAGAGCCTTCACGCGCGGTCCAGCCTCCTCCCCGTCTGCGCCGTCGCTAGTGTCACCGCGCGCCCGCGGCACCTACAGCGTGAGGTGCTCAGGCGGCAGCGCTGCCAACGCCGCTGGCACATCCGTCTGCTAGTGTCCAGCTGAAGCGTACCGGCTTCTCTCCCGCCCCGTGCGCGTAACTCACTAAATCACGGGACGCCAAGAACTACTCCAACACTTTGCCAAATCGTTCACGCACACAAGTATATGGTCTCGAAGGGCATCGATCGCACCGATTGCCAGTGGGGGCGTCGGAGCGCCCCAAAATCCATCCGTTGTACTGTACATACAACGCGCACGGCCAATCCAGTCCGTATTAGTAGTCCATGTCCGTTAAGCCAGAACCACAAAGTCCATCGCCACCGCTCACGCGCTCGCCGCCGCCATGCTACCCCTCCTGACCTTGACCATCCTCGCCTTAACCTTCTTTGCCGCAGCGGTCGCGCTCGCCGCGGCGGACGCCGTCCCCGTCGCCACATCGGACGCTGATGCGGACCCAGCGACGTCGGAGGCAGAGGCGGTCCCAGAGACGTCGGAGGCAGAGGCGGACGCGGATGCAGCCGCCGCCGTGCCGGACGCAGAAGCTGACGCGGGCGCAGCCGTCTCTGATGCGGAAGCTGGCGCGGACGCAGCTGTCTCTGACGCAGAGGCGGACGCGGACGCAGCCGCGGACGTGCCAGCTGCGGCCGTGCCGGACGCGCTGGCCGCACCGTCCGCGGACTGCTGAACGACGACGCAGTTCCCGAACCCGCCCGCGGTCTTGAACGAGACGATGCACTTGCCATCCGGACCGGAGCAGGTCATCCCCGCGGGGAGCTGGACGGTGAGCTGCTCTGTGCCCAAGCTCTTCGGGGACTGAGAGAGGGGAGCGGGAGTGGGAAACATCGTCAGCGGGGCGCTCGCGTCGGAGAAGGGAGACGGGCTGACCCTGGTGCCGTTCTCGACCATCGTCGCCGCGACGAAGCTGTCCTTGTCGCCCGTGCCCGTCGGGTCGACGAGGACCTTTGCGATCTCGCGCGAGCCGTCGACATTCCTGCAGACGGGGCGTATCGTGTCAGCCCAACGGGGACGAGCGGGACAGAGACAGAGACACAGAGAAAGAACAACGCACTTGTTGAAGTTGGTGATCGGGGCGGTGAAGGTGCCGTCCGCGGCGACCTGGATGGTGTCCGAGGACTCCATCGTCGAGGCGACGTCCGTCTTTCCACACGGCTTCTGGTTCGAGGGCCGCTGCACGTCCGAGCGCGCGGGTGTGCCGCTCACACCGAGCACGGGCGAGACCGCGGCGTGCGCGTGCGCCTGGAGCGCGGCGCCGAGGACGGCGGTGAAGGCAAGGAAAGTCTTGGAGAAGAGCATGGTAGCGGTGGTGGAAGTGGTGAGAGGCGAAAGGCGTGGAGTGAAGAAGGTACGGTGGAATGAGGGTCCGGCCTCGGGATGTGCTAGATGAAGAAGATGGGGGCGGAGGAGGTGAGCAAGCTGAAGATTGACAGAGGGCAAGAGAGGGCTTTATACATGACCGAGAGCGGGCCCATCCAAGGTTGAGGGCTCAGCGAGCGGGCACGGTCTGCCCGCACGCGCTCATCGGAAAAGCGTAATCGAAGCGCGCGGGTCGAACGAGCAACGGTATTGGCCGAGGGGCAGAATACAATTGCTCACCAGGTCTGGCGTCTGTAACCCGCTTCCTCCACTCCGCTTTGCGACGGGCAACAGGGGCCGTATCCTAGAAACCATGCTACAGCGGGGAAGAATTTCCACGATTCTCGAGTCTCCCGAGTGCGACTCCAACATGCATAGAGTTCCTGATCGACGGGGTGCGGAATGGTTCCTCCAGGCGTTGCTACGGCTCGTCTGGCAGATGGTCAATCGGCGAGCACTGACGGTGCGGGAGAATCAGCCATGCACATACTCCGCACTCTGTTCAGAACTTCGCATATATCCATCGGCCTGCAGACTATGACAGTAGCGTGGTATATTCAGAAAATCGGCCGCCGTCGGAATTGGTGAAGCGTGCTGATAATGCTGGTATACCACTCCAAGTCACGACGTGCAGCGACGACCTGGCCCCTGGATGTGGACGGGTTGCATCTCCAACCGGCCAGGACGCATTGAACGGGACGATAGAGACGTAAAAGGCTCACCTCAGGGCCATGGTGGACGCCGAGAACGGTGTTGGAATGAGAAGCCACACCGTCTGTCACTGTCAACAACGAACGCAAGCATCACCACACATGCGCCGGTATGGATGACACCAGGGGGTTTCCATTACTCCGCAGGTTGCATTCGAGCCATCCAAGGCTGGGAACCCGACAAGCTTGAGCCATATTGCAAGGAGGGTGTTCGGAGAAGAGCTGAGAGCAACGTGGACGCTATAGCTACCAGCTGCTGCGAGCTCGCGGTCTGGCTGCGCTTTGCTGATTGGGCGCTGGTATGAGGTTGTTGGTTCGATTCTCGGATTGGCCATCACCTTGGTGGTACTATTTTGCACACGACAGCACTCCGCAAAGATATGTACAAATATCACAGTGTAACTTGAGCGCCGATTTCACATCAAAGCCTCCTCTCCGAACGAGCTACGCGCCCTCCCTGCTGAGTATCTCTCGATGGGCGCTTCTCTCGTACCCGCCTTTCGGGATCTTCCGAATGGTATGAGGTGCCATAGACTGCAGAAACATCAGAACAGAATTCGGTGACTTGAGGACCGCCCATGCCGTGCGCGCGCGAGTAGGCTTCCCACCCGAGCACTGCCCTCGCTTGTTCTTCGCCGCGTTCGAAAAATCCACCGAACTCAAGGCTGCTTCGATGTATATCTTGCGTAGCTACGGGAGCGTGGCGCTCGCGCCCAGGACGGCTGGCTTCCCACAAACGAGACATTTCCGCCTAACGACATTCTAACTCGAAGGCGGTCTAACATAGCCGAGCGCCGATGGCACGCCTTCTGGTGGGAACCTGTGCACGACTCACCGGCGAACTCGGGGCTGTGGATCGTTGTCATTCATGGTTGGCTACATGAGCACGGTGAGTGAGCGCTCTAGATGCTTGTCCGTCGCGGGTTGCGCGTAGATGTGGAGCCCTGACGGCTGAGGCTGCTTCGAACTCGGTTGAACGTTCTTCCACAACATTTGCCTCTCATCCATCTCTGTACCTAGGCTGTCGGCGCTGTCCACGGGGTCGTCAGAGGCGTTCGAGGCGTTCGAGCTTCCACTGCCCAGTCCACGCCTTTGTTCTGCCGGACACTGGCGACACACTCCTCCTCGTCGCGTGCTTCACGTACGCGCGCTCCTTCGGTCCGGCTCTCCGCTTCTCCGGGCGTCGCGATCCCGGGAACGCAGCTATTCATGCCAGTGGCTGCTTTCACAGGATATGGGCTGTCTACGGGAGAATACCGCGTTCGATGTCATCCGCGGGTTCGTCAGACCCTGCTTCTGCGGACTGCCGTCAGCCTAGGCACGCGCACCGTGCACCGGACCATACGACATGGGCGCGACAAGTGCCAGACTCCAGTGGCGCGATCGATACGTCGCGTGCGCATGAATCTTTTCACGAACGATTATGAGCGCACTCGCCGAGGACGATGCAAACGCGTGAATGTGGATCGTGGTGTGTAATACGCACTCCATACAGCGGAGTCTGTGTGTCGCCATTAGTAGCTAAATTAACGCTCTGCAAGGGACACCGTACCCTGTGTTCACACTGGCAATCGTGTTCAGACGCGGTGCGGTGTAGACCTCGATGGTGTGACGCACATTGCCGGTGACTGAGTAGGGCGTATGCCCGAGTCGGTAACCTAACGGACGTAAACATCCGAACGATAACTCCAGATCAGGTGAGCGTTTTGACGACTCGGACCCAGACACGCAATCGGACTCACATGAGTTGCCTCCAATCTCGAATGACGCCGCCCATGGCGTACTCGTTGTCATAGGCGGGAGGACTATAAGGTAGCATACACCTCAGTGGCAGTGTGTCCACAGATCCTATGTAAGCTGCACATTGTGGACACAGCAGAGCTGTGGACACAAGATCCACTACAACACTGCATACACTACGAAGCAGGTTAATAGCATCATCAATAGTTTACTGAGTGGGTAAGGCTACGGGAGCCGTCGAACAAAATGTGCCATTAAACGAACAAATGGTCTGAACGCGGCTCGAACTCCGCACTGCCACTACAAACTAACAGTCACCGACGCTGATCCGACTGAGCCAACGGTCCCATATAGTGGTGGAACGTTTATGCCATATACCATGTTATCTCGGCCCAACAATACGATTATACCGCACTCCCTGCAGACACAATGTCCATTCTATATGCGTCAATCAACACCTCTGTGTATGCCATGTATTTATGGATGCAATTGTCTCACGATATACCCCATGACACTAGGCATGTACAGATACGAATGTAGTATGGACTGACGAGTTAAGTTCTCATATACATATACATACATGTTGTGTCCAGCGCACATAATTATACGGCAAGCACACAAAGCTGGAGACTTTCTGGCGGAAACCTTATATCAACCGCATAAGAGACCCTGCAACCGTGCTGTGTCCACAGCTTGTGTGCGGGGAATTCTGTGTCCACAGCAGCTAGCGTGAATTGCTGTGGACACAGCGAGTGCGCGGGGAGTTGCTGTGGACACAGTGAGTGTGTCAGGATTCCCTGTGGACACAGCTTACATACGGGGAATTTCTGTGTCCACAGCAAGCCAGCGGTGAATTGCTGTGGACACAGTGAGTGCGTGGGGAATTGCTGTGGACACAGCTTACATGCGGGGAATTTCTGTGTCCACAGCAAGCCAGCGGTTAATTGCTGTGGACACAGCGATTGCGTGGGGAATTTGCTGTGGACACAGCGAGTGTGTCAGGATTCCCTGTGTCCACAGCAAGTCAGCGGGGGATCGCTGTGTCCACAGCTTGTACGTGGGGGGTTTCCGTGGACACTGTTACCGTGCGGCGGTGGGCTGTGTAAACAGCTAATTTCCCGACACTTCTCATACAGTGCACACAGACCACACCTCTTCCAGACCTGTAATCAAGGCGAACGCGTACATACCACGACCAGACGAGCGCTCTCGCGCCTCCCACGGTCCCGTGGGCGCGACTTAGCGCTCGATTTCTGCGCACAGGGAGGGCGGGAAGCGAGTCCATCCGATTCGCATCACCGCCGCTCCCCGTTACACATCGGTGGAGTCGTGCGGGCATCTACGCGTGCCCCTCGGGCATTTTGTGGTCTGCGGGTGGCGCAAGCCGCGTGGACGCATGGGAATCCACGCAGCTCGCGAAACTCCGATCCAGGGTCGAGTACTCAAGCTCAAGCCAGTGGAGGCGATTGTAGGTTATACATGAGGCGGAGCATTTTAAGAGAACAGAAGTTGGGAGTATGTAAGTGTGTGTGGAGGAGAGGATGTACTCGAAGCTGCAGGGGCTATCGGGCACGCGGCTGGCGGCGGAGCGTTGACATGTGCCGCCGCTGTACAGCGTAGCGCCATCCTCGACTATGCTTGTGCGCCGCCACCCATCCCTCGTCTACCTCGCTCGGGAAGAGTCAACAAGAGTGAGGGCGAGTGAGCGGGCTCGAGTAAGTGTGGGACGCGGGAAGTCGAATGGAGGATGAAGGAAACAGATACGACGCGCTGCGGGAACGCGCGAGCGCGAGGAAGACGAGAAGGGGATAGACGCGGGGGAATGTACGGGGTCGCGCAAACGGGCGCTGGCAATGGCGAAGGCGAGGTCGAAGTCGTGGGCGAAGGCGTAGGCGTGTGCGAAGGCGTGGGCGTGGGTGAAGACGAAGTCGAAGGCGAAGGCGAGACGAAGTGAGCACACTGCACGCGTAGATGGAGCGGGCAAGTGAACTGCATAACACAAAGTAAAACACGAGTCTAAATACAGGAGGCGCACAGCGCGAGTACGTGGCGATGAAACGAGAACCTGCCGAAGCCAAGGGACGAAAAAATACAAAGCCGAAGCCAAATGTAAGGTAGAGGGACACGAGACACGGCGGAAGGGGCTCTAGTGAGGATGTAATAAGTGGACACAGACCGAAACAGAACGAGCCGAAACGGGGGACGCGAGAAGTGGATACAGAGACAGGAGCGAGAAAGAAAAGAGAAGAGACGAAACTAAATAAAACGTACAAGAAGAGAACTAGGGTACAATCGCGAGAGGAAAGTGTGCCGAGCCGCGAGTGGTGGAGATCGAGGGCGCGCGGCGAAGGCCACGAGCGGGCGCAGAGAGCGCTACGTAGCATCCGTGTGCGTGGGTCTGGACTAGAGTGATGGCTTGTCGATCCCAGGGCGCTCGTGGGAGGATCGCGA